CCGTCGGACACTCCCACGAAGTCGGTGTCCACCACTACCGACGGTGGCGGCGGCGACGGCGGCAGCAGCAGCTGGAATGGCGGCGCTGTTTGTGCGCAAAAACTTCGAAGTTGCGTCACTGTTCTCGCCTTCGACCACGGTGGCTCTGAATGCGAGGCATTTGCGAATGAATCGACAATTGACGGTGAGTTGGTGGTCCAATGGAGTTGTTGGTGGGGGTGTTGTTGAGACGCCTGCGTCTACCTTGGTTGTTGTTGTTATTTGTACCATTCATCAATCCAATTGAACGATTTCATTCATTAACTCACCAACTGTTCCGCTTGCCCTCATGTGAGGTGTGTGTGGCAGAGGTCTGGTCGCCAGTGCATGTGGTTGTCAATGTGGGTTGACTTTGGTTTGAGAATGATAGACTTGGACGCACCTGTCGCTGCGTTGGTGCATCCCCTTCCACCATCAGTTTCATTTCTTGGCATCTTGATGAATTGGTAAGGCATTGTGCTGTGGTGGAGTTGAATGAGTGCATTGAACAGTGCAGTGTAGGCGGACGCGTTAATTTGACGGAGGCGTGAAGTTGATCTGTGCATTGAATGTGTAATGCATTGTAAAGTAACGCCAAAGTGCTGTCACCACAGCAGCAATTGTGGGTGAGTAATCTCCGTAGGCGTTGTTCCTGTGATTTACGACCAAAGTAGTTGATCTATGAAGGATGTGGAGAGCTATTGGATGAAACGATGTTTACTTGAACACGCAGAATGATTTCGTGTTCGGGGAAGGGGAAGGGTAGCAGCTTCATCCCAGCCCATCCATTCGGGAGGTTCTGGTCAATCGTTGGTTTAATTCCACAGACATTGTCTATGCCGTCTGTTGTCCGTGGTGTTTGAGTTATTCATCCACGGAAACGGTGCTCCTCTTCAGTTGGCGTATGGATGTTCACTAACCATCTAGGCATTGCCTCATTACGCATAACGCGTTGGGTGCTACTTCAAGATTTTCCCAATTGTTCGACTCATTGCATCACGGATCCATAAGAACATTAGGTTGTAGTGAAGAAGAATAGTACTTTGGGAAATTGTTATTAGACCTCCTCTCTCCTCCATTGCCCTCTTGCTCCATCCTGACGAGACCAAAAATCTTCTTACTGTTCAGTTTTGTGCCACAAAATCCCACTGAATGACAACCCTTCGTTTTGAGGTTAATTAACTGGTTTTAACACGTATTTATTTTTAAGCTTCTATGAACGGCCAGGTCGGTATTGCAGAAATGCGTCAGTATCGCACCGCATCCACGATTGACGTGGTGGTGTCGACATGAAGTTGTATATGTGTGGGAAATGTGACGAAGGTGAATAGATCGCATTTTGAATGTATGTAGGAGCATGCTCACTCTTCCATCACTCATCCCATCCACTTAACACCGAGTTTATCTGACCATGCCAATGTCCTCACCTCTTCCACTCGCTCACCGCGTCTACCCCCACAGTGTCATGGAGGCGTGGAGAAAGGAGGATGGAGGATGGTGACTGGTGACTGGTGGGTACTCCCTCCTCCACACATTGCCTTCACGTTGTGAGAGGAATGCCGTGACAACACACAGTTACGTAGCTTCTGGTCAACCAGCTCTG